GTTTTTGCTATGTACTGTTGGTTTGTGTCTTTGTCACAGTCTGTCATGTCCCGTGTTTAATGTCCCCTTGAGGAGCGTCTGGAAGCCGCTCCTTAAGGTGGGGGTTCTGTCATGATTCTGCCTTCTTGTCTTTGATTTTCTCTAGTCGTGAGGCAGGATCATGACAGAATCATGTTTTGTGTGCAAGCGCATGGCCTGTTTGGGCCATGTGCTTGTGTTGTCTCGTTAACTTACCCCGCCCCCTTGTTATCCTAGTCTTGTGATTATTGTCTAGTCAGTTTCACCTGTCCTGGTCATTAGTGTTCCCCTTTATAATCCCCTTGTGTTTGCTGTCCTGGGTCGGTTCATTGTTTGAAACCTGCTGTGTAACCTGCCGTGAGATCTGTTTGTTGTTTTGTGAAGTTTGCAGTGAGTAATCCCTTGAGTTAACTGTTAATCCAGAGTCTGTTCGTGTCTTAGTATTGTTCCTGTCTTGACCTCAGTTTAAGTCTAGTGTTTGTTACCCAGTCTTTTGCCCCCTTGTGGGCTTTGTTTTCCCCTTTTTGTCTTGAATAAATTCTGTGTTGAGCAATCAGTCTGCTTTTGGGTTCGTCTATCCTCCCAGCACATAACAATTAGACTGAGAGACCAAGAGGAGTCACTGCTTGCTTATGTGAGTGTGAGGGAAACTGACACTGAAGAGTAATTAAAGAGCTATTAATGAAGCACTTCAGAATGACACCTCACTGTGTTCATATATGGAGGTGTTTTTCTTACAGTCCTCAATCTCTAATTAAGCAATTAAGCCTTTTATTAATATCTAGCTGTGTGGTTTGATTCTGTTTATGAATGACTAAGTAACTGAACATTTTTGAATGCAAGTTTAGAGTCTGTACTGAATATGATGCAATAAATACGACATCAACACCTTGAAACCTTAACATTAGTTAATGAACTAAACTTTTTGACAAGAACTAATAGGTCAATAGGGAGTTGCAATGCCAGAAAATCCTTTCCTATCAGTTTTTAGTTTGCTTAGTTTTAATCCAATTCGTCAACACATTTATGGGGACCTTTAGCAATGATTCTAAGCTCATATCCATGGTCGGCGAGTGACCTACTTAAGCCCACATCCTAAACTCCTTAAAAGGAATTATGACAGAAGCGAGGGACTAGGCTGGGCGTGATACTTCTCCTTTATCAATATGAAACATCAGTCACCCCTCTCTCACAGCAGAAAGCATACAGGTGTGTCAACCTGAAAGTTGCTCCATCCTGCCTAGTAGTCAAAGCAAAACTCACACGAATAAAGCCGAAACAAATGAGCCAGGTAATGATTGACTCATACCATTGCAATTAAAACTTGTTCATTGTCAGGCACCCGATCCTCACCTTTGACTCTTGAAACCGTGTGTTATTTCGGAGGGTCGCTGCTTAGTATTGCTCCCCGAGGACTGGATACACCCTGCAGTGCTTTTGCCAAGATGCACTTACAATAGGAGCTTTGTGCAAATATAATGGCAACCTGCAACAGGAATCTTGGCATGTATAAATCCAGAGAAACTGGTTTGGTGTTTAATCTGCCAGTCTATCTCAGCATATTCCTTTGAGTCTCGAATTACAGTTGATTAATGATCTGCTCTGAAATTAAATTGAAAATAAATATATTTCATATTTTTGTGATTTAATAGGCTGAGGCTAGTTGTCACGCTAGTTGAATAGTTGGGGTTGTTTTATTAAAACTAAGGTTTGTACGCATATTTACTTTAAAGTATTTGCTACAAATAAGCTTTTTAACACTTACACTATCTAGGATTTTCTTTTTGCACTATTTGAGGTAAGTTGTCATAATGAGAACCCATACAGTATTCAGCATATCTTTCTATCTATCTATCTATCTATCTATCTATCTATCTATCTATCTATCTATCTATCTATCTATCTATCTATCTATCTATCTATCTATCTATCTATCTATCTATCTATCTATCTATCTATCTATCTATCTATCTATCTATCTATCTATCTATCTATCTATCTATCTATCTATCTATATACATACACTATACCCCCCCCCCCCCAGGTGTGTAAAATGTCAACTATAACAAATTGTGTGACAAATAAAGTGACTCCTGACATTTATGATAAATTTATGTTGACCCTTTGACCCTAGAATTTTAGATTGGAGAATAGAATTTATCAAAAAAGTTCCATCTTCCATTGCATGTGAAAAAAGTTGTTAGAAACTAACATATGAAACTACTGCTAAAGAAAACAAGCATTTACACAAATGGACTTTATTTTAACCCAAAACCTCAGTCACTGTGTGACAACTAGCCCCAGTTTCCCTACAGTATGTTAGTTCAAATGATGCTGCTGTGCTTCTGGACAGAGAACAGAGGTTGTAAGGGAGAAATGATTGAGTAAAGTCAGTGAGAGATATAAAGTACATAAGTGTCGTGTTGTGATGGTTAGCCTTGCATGACGGAAACGGTAATTGTCTTGAATCTGGTGCAAAGTTCAGAGTCTCTCAAGCAGTGTGTACATTCTCGTTATTGATGTAAGGCATTCCTTATTAGGGCACATGGACATAAAAAGCTTTTAGCAGATATTAAACTTTGGTGGGTGGGAGAGAGGAAGATAGTATGAGATTATATAAATGATCTTTAACATCAAAGCAATGCATGTTTCCTCTAATTGCCATGAGACTCTATTTTAGTCCAAAGGCTTATGTTGTGGAATTTGAACCAAAATGCCCTGTGCAGTGTGTCCCCTTGTGGTACATTTGAGAATTATTACAGGCTAACATTCCTCATGCCCTGAGAATGACCCTTTAAAAAAGAAAAGCCAGTTGGCTGCATTGCTGTGGGAATCTTGCTGGACTCAGAAAAGACATTGGACAAATAAAGTCCAAGAGCTGATGCCTGATTGAAGGTCTGACCAACAACATTGCATAGTTATTAATCAGAGCATGACTGATTCTCTAAACAGGTCGTAGGCAATTCAATCCAAGCATATTCAGTTCGAGGCGAGCTAATTATCTGTTGGCCAAGTCAAATGAGAGGAAACGAGAAGAAAAAATAGCAAAAGTACAACCTCAGGGAAGAAATTGTGCCCATTAGCACTTCTGAAAAAAAAAAAAAAATTGTGAGAACCTTTTATTTCTTTTCTGCAAGCTAGTGATTAATAATACTATGCCTTCATTACCTGCTTTTACCATTGGATGGCATTTTTGGATTGCATGGGTTGGATTACATTTTGTATTGTTTTGTATTATTTTGTTTGTATAAAAAAAGGGATCTTTTGCTGAATAAAAACATTTAAACACAATTAGCATTTATGTTAATAAATATATTTATTTAACATTTATTATAATTTATTATTGTATTTTGGTAAACTATTTTTGTTATTAATATTAATGTTTTAATGATATTATTATTAGAATTATTAATATCATGACTATAATGATTTTTCTTCTTAATAATAATAATATTAAATCATAGTAATAATTTACTATTGTCATATTATTATTATTATTATTATTATTATTATTATTATGTTTTGTATCCTTCAAGCTTAATTTCCAATATCATGATATATTGTCTATATACGTATATATATATATTGGATGAAATATTTCATATCGCATTGTGCATTTATTTATTTCATTATATATATTGTTAAATAATAATAATAAATATTATTATTTAAAAATTAGTATCATATTTTTTTTAAGTATTGGTCCTTCAAGCTTACATTTCAATGTAATCATAAATGTTGTTGGGTGAACAATGGAAAACAATAATCTATTTGTGCATTTATTTATTTATGATCTTATATTTATTGGCAAATTATAATGTCAGAAAATAAAAAGAAGCTATGTTGTAGAATTATTTTTATGTTATTGGAATATTCATTTTTTGTAAGCTTAAATGCCATCTAATTGGGTGTATAAGGTAAAACAACAATTAATTTGTGTATTTATGTGTTATATGTATTGTTTAATAATAATAACAACAACATTAATAATAAATCATAATTCATTATAACTATTATGATCCAAAATTCTCGTTATTCACTTATACAGATATAATAAATAAATTCACAAGTAGATAGACAGTAAAATTCCAGAAAACACTAATGTAATGTTTCAGCCCTGGTCGGGAAAAGTCAACTCCTCTGAGCCACAGCAGCCCACCAAATCATCTCAAACCATGCAAACTTGAAGAAACTGAAAAACAAAAGAGACCTGAACATGTTTTAAGACATCTTGAGAGCCATTGTTGAACAATGTGAGACGATAATGAACGATGTTCCCTTTATAAATCGCAGACAGTTACAGCTGCGGGTGGTCTGGCTGACTGAAAAGTTTTTACTGAGACTGTCTCATCTGATTACAATAACGCAGCCCAATCGAGCCATTAAACTGACAATGACAAATAACCAACATGGTGTTTCATCATGAAACCTTTAAATGACAGAATAGACCGCTAACTCAGCAGGAAGCAAATAGTGAAACGTTTATTAAAAAATGAGCTGTGAGTCTAAATTATGCAGAAATAATTTCACACTAGTAAATATTTATGCCATGCCAGTTTACAAGACATTCAAGTGGCATGTTGAGCTTTGAAGCACTTCCAGAGCATAGACAAAACAACCGAGGACCATTTCCATGAGACAACAACAAACACGAGAACTTCCCACAGAACCTCAGGGAAGCTTAAATAAATAGGCTACATTCATCGGAAAGATTCCGAGCAGAAACATTGTTTATGTTTGGTTAGGCCTAATCGTCATGGTTCGTGCAGAAATGACGTTCAAAAATAAAACCGGAAAATATTTACTTGACTAAAAGGATACATAATAATTATTTATACTCTAAATAATAAACTTTGGAGAGAAAAAACAACAACACGTAATTACTTTACACACTTTGTGTCATTTGATCCAAGTGGTCAGTAGGCGTCGCTGTTTCTAAACCCCAGTGAAAATGTAAATGTAATTTTTTGTCCCCTATGACTTTCCGTAGCAGCTGTACGTGTGCAAATCATTCCATTCTCAAAACCCCAAAACTACAGCACTTATTTCAGATTTAGTTTAAAGTAGTTTAAATTAAAAATGTGCGTTCTTTCTTAACGAACATGAGTCTACTAACGTTTTGAGACAGTAACCGATAGCGTTTAACGTTAGTTCGGTAAATGATGGCATTACTGTATGGTGTGGTGAGTGGTGTCCTTCTCACTGCTGTTGTATTAATAATAGTGTTTATTTTACGATTATTTGGGATTTTGCGACATGGATCGGAATATAAACCAGGACAGAAGGGTTCTGTGTCAGTTCTGGTGGTGGCTGGATCAGGTGAGAATCAACCTTTCAACCTTGCAAACAGCATTTACAGAGAAAATATTATATACAGTATGTGTATTTATGTATTTGTGCGTGTATTATTATAGCATAGTTTATTACAGTGAGTATATAAGTATATATATATATATATATATATATATATATATCAATAAACATTATTGTTTTTTAGGGTAGTTTGTTTCGTAGCAGCGTACGTGCATAGACAGCAACATAATAACATAGCAATTAATACCATAAAACATCACAAAAATCATGAAATCCTTTTGTGTTGTTGTTATCCTCCAATATTATGTCACTTCCTGCAGGAGGGATGTTAGTTAAAGGGATTAGAAAATAAGCTCAAAACGAAAGAACGTTAGTATCATTTATTTGAAACTCACTCTTATCATAAGAGTGAGTTTCAGATAAATGATTAGTCTTATGTGATTTTTTTTTAATCTTTCAATTTTACTGTGTATTTTACTTTTTTGTACTTTAAAACTGAACAAGCACAATTTAATTTCACCCAAAAATAATTTACAATGTAACTTTAATGTGATAAAAGTTGCTGAAAGAAATAGTGACAGATAGAAGATGGATATATAGATTCATCCTTCCATTTAATTTTTACATTTGTATGGTTTAACTTAATGTTTTGATATTAATAAAAAGGTAACATCCATTTTATTCGCCAACTAGCATATATTTCAACAATAATCCTTTATTATTATTATATTATTGACTTTAAATGTTTCTTTTCTGTCTAATCTAGGAGGACACACATCAGAAGTCATCCGTCTGTTGGGGAGTTTATCTCAGTCGTATAACCCTCGACATTATGTGATCGCAGACACCGACAAAATGAGTGAAGAGAAGATCCGAACTTTTGAAGCAGAGCGGAAGAAAAGTGATTCAACCTCTCAGGTGATAGTATTTTTTTTTTTTTTTTTTTAAATGTTAGACACAAAAACAGACAAACTTTCAGACAATAAACAAGTTATAGGTCAATAGTTAACAAGAAAAATGATATAAAGAAGCCTGGTCTATCTACTGAAAGTTATTTAGAAAGAAAAAGAAAAAAGTGGGGGCACAAAAATGAAAGAATAATAAACATGGTACAAATTTTTAGATGCTTTTATTGCTGTCTTGTTTACAGATGTTGAGATTGTGTTTAAGTGCACCTTCAGTTCTTGTTTGAAGATGTCAAAGCGGGGTTTACTCTTTGTATATTTACATTTATGGATATACAACTTTCCAATTAATAAAAGGAGGTTAATACAAAACTACTTTAATTAGATTCTTGTCATTCATATAAAACCCAAAAATCACAGAACACATTTTGGACAATCAAGACATCAACATTACTCCAGAATAAGTGATGGATCTGTACTGAACATATTTATACTTCAAAAAACCTCTTTTTTTCGGTGGAACTCTAAAGTTCTCATTGGTTTTGTCTTACTTTGACCAGCAGATGGCAGCAATTCCTTTGTCTTTTCATTTATGTTTATATAACTGTGAATTTGAAATGATAGATAGATAGATAGATAGATAGATAGATAGATATTAACTTTATCATATTCCCTCATTTAGTGGGAATGTTTTTCTGCTTATATTCTCACTCATTTGTCATGTTTTCCTTGATTTACTGTACACAGTTCACTGTCCACTGGATTCCTCGCAGTCGGGAGGTTCGTCAGTCATGGAGTTCCTCCGTTCTGAGCTCCCTGAACGCTCTGATGTCATCCGTACCGTTGGTCTTTAGGCTTCAGCCGGATATGGTGGGTAACTTCACCTCTCATTCATATCATCATTAAGTATTAATTTCCTCTTTTCTGCAGCGTATTCTGTATAACACCCTCCAGAAATAGCACATCATAACATGTTTATGAGATCATGCCTAAGCCCAGTTCTATTTTGAGTATGATTTGAGCCTTTTATTCAAATTTAAGTATAAACATTTTGCAAACATACTTATGGATATGATGAATATTAGTTTGCATTACCAGATTCGAATATGTTATTAAGTAGTAAAGACAAGTCACATTTATCTATATAACACTTTATACAGTACAGATTGTTTCAAAGTAGCTTCCCATTAATAAACGGGAAAATAACAGTGTTAATGTTGTAAAATTATGAATTATGAATCAATTAAAACAACTTTAATTTAATCTCTAGCAGCTCCCACTGTAAAAAATGTTTTCAAGATTTGTTATCACAACATACTTTCTTTTGTCAAATCAACTTTATAATAATTTATTTAGTTGAGATAACTTATTATTTTGAGTTTCTGATGGTTAAATTAATCTCCTTCATTGTATTAACTCACTTTTTCCAGTTCAATCAACTTAAAATTTTAAGGCAACCCAGGTTACTTACTTTTTAAGTTAAACCAACAATATTTTTTACAGTGTAGTAATCACAACATTTTTTCTTTTGTCAAATCAACTTAAATAATTTATTTAGTTCAGATAACATATCATTTTGAGTTTCTGATGGTTAAATTAATCTCCTTCATTGTATTAACTCACTTTTTCCAGTTCTATTAACTTAAAATTTTAAGGCAACCAGGTTACTTACTTTTTTAAGTTAAACCATCAATATTTTTTACACTTACAGTGTATTGGACAATAGTGTCTTTCTGTTCCGTTTAGTTCAGTGTTGTATCAGTTTAGTTCAATAGCTGTCAATGTTGCAAAGTTCATCAATTATAAACACAAAAAAAGATAAAAGTTCAGTTCAGGTGTAAGCAGCTTTACAGAAGACACTAGTTAAGTAAGTGTTATTATTCAGCTTAAGTAACATGTAAATGTATTATACTGTGTTATTATTGTACCATATTGTTAATCTTTTTTAAATGTGCTTTCTAAAGCATATCTCTGTAACTACGTGTCTTCAGATTAACGTCCATAACCTTGAGAATTCAAACATCCTGTGCACTGTTTTGGAAAACGGCTTTTTATAAATATGTCATGTCATCTGCGAAACGTAGTCCAAATTCTGTACTTTTCCTGAATGGTTTGACCAGAGAAATACAGAAGCAATGTGTTTCGCGATTTGTTGGAAGACACATCATGCCCATATTCCAGGATGACAATGTCAAGATTCATCAGGCTCAAATTGTGAATGAATGGTTGTGAGGGAGCATGGCCTTAAATTCAGTGAAAGTCTTTGGGATGTGCTGGAGGAGACTTTACAGAGTGCTGGACTCTTGCGTTGACCAATGATGAAGTGATGATATTGTAAATTGTACATGCTTTAAACATAATAATCACTGCAATAATGATCTGATCATAGACTCTTTAAGGGGTGGTAAAATGCCATTTTCACAATATGTAAAATAAATCTCTGATGTCCCCAGAGTGTGTGAAGTTTCAGCACAAAATACCCCAGATATTTTTATATAGCATGTTAAATTTGTCACTTTATGAAGGTTTGCAAAAACGCACGTTTTATGCCTGGCCCTTTAAATGCAAATGAGCTGCTGCAGTGGGCGGGGTTTCATGCTAGCAGCTACGATTTCCTCTTTTTTGGGGTCGGGCAGTGTACTATTTCACTTTGAAATGCGTCGGACGTAAAATTGGTTTCATATGCCATTGCATGTTGACATTAATAAGAGGTTTGTGAGTGAGATCTGTGGTGCTTTCTTCAAGCACAGATTCTGTCTAGTGCACAAGAAACCGCTACGCTAAAATGCCCTAAAATCCCTAACCAAAATATTAAAGGGATATTTCACCCAAAAATGACAATTCTGTCATTATTCATGCCAAACTTGTAAGACTTTCTATGTTCTGCGAAACACAAAAGAAGATTTACACGTGTTTTAGGACAGGATCCGATGTTGTTCGGACAAAATCTTCTTTTGAAAGTCATACGGGTTTAAACAACACGAGTGTGAGTAAATGATGACATTTTTAACACAAACATGTCACACAGCAGCAGAGGGAATGTTTAAGCAGGTGATAAAGACATTTTTTCCTTCAGCAGGTGATAAGACTATCACATATCTGCTGTATAAGCAAACACTAATCCTGCTGTTTCTCTGCTTGTCTTCAGCTAGAGAAAGAGAGAGAGCTGCTGGGAAAACACTCAGGGATAGATAAAAAAAAAGTGAGAGAGGGGGTTGATTTAGTAAAAAAAAGAGGGATGGGCAGCCTTTAAGCCCTTTTTCAGGAATGATCCATAATCCAGAGCCCCTTTCTCTCTCTCTTTCTCTCTCCTCCTCCTCCTGTGGTTGTGTAATGAAGGGTTGTGAGCGGAGCAGCCGAGGGGTCTTGTTCTCAGGATGTGGCGAGACCTGACTGGCTCCTTGGCCCAGCGGCCTGACTCCTCTCACTCGGAGCCAAGCAGTTTCGGGTTTCTGTGTTGCCGTGGAGACCAGCTGAGAGGAGGCGGAGCATGACTAAGCGGCCCGCGCTGCAGTGCTTGAGCAGTAGAGCTCAAAGGTCAGGGCTAACCAGACAGATCTCTCACGGACCACCACACTAGTGTTCTGTTAAGCTCTCATTAGCCCGCTCTCCTCGTGCTGACGTCATTTCCTACTTTTCCATTCAGGCGAGTTTTTTTTTAATGGGAGAGAGGTTTACAGATTTCTAGTATACTGAAGAATGATTGGGGCCTTTTTTGTCTTGGATCTGCTGTCATGTTAGTTTCATGGTAAAAGAGATTAGACAAATTTCTTTTATTGCATACTTTAAAAAAAAGTTTTCCCTAAAATTAAAATAAAAAATAGCAAATTATTCATTTTAAATTGTTTTTTTTGTTCAATATATTATTCTATTTTTACTTATATATATATATATATATATATATATATATTTTTATAATATATTATATAAGATTTTTCCGCATTGTGACATTCATTGCGTAGTTATTTTATTTTTAGTTATTTGCATAGTTATCATTGCATAGTTTGTTCAATTTTTATTTTATTTTACTTTTAGTTAAAGTTTTAGTAATCTTGCCATTTTTATAATATTTTTGCATAGCCTTAATTTATTTTTATTTCATTTTAAGTCACATTAAGTAATTTTAGCTGCCTTTGCAATATTTCTTATTTTCATTTAAGTTTTCATCTAATGTTTGTATTTTATTTTAGTTCAGCTTTATTCCAATTAGTGAATCTAAAATATACTTTAAGTTTTAGTTAAAATTAACTTTTAGTTTAATAACTACACTGATATTCTATTTTTACTTATAATATATTTTTTATGATATATTATATATGGCTAAGATTTTTCTGCATTGTGACATTCATTGCATAGTTATTTTAGTATTGTTATTATATATTTTTTGCATTTTGAATTAGTTTTAGTTTATTTTATAATGTTAGTTCAATTTATTATTTTATTTACATTTTAGTTAAAGTTTTAGTAATCTTGCCATTATTATTATTATTATTATTATTTTTAAATATTTTTGGATAGCCTTAATTTATTTTTAGTTCACTTTAAAGTTCAATTAATTTGAGCTGCCATGGCAATATTTCAAATTTTCATTTAAGTTTTCATCTAATATTTATATTTTATTTTAGTTCAGCTTAATTTAAATTAATGAATTAAAAAAAATTTTTAGTTTAAGTTAAAACTAACTTTTAGTTTAATAACAACACTGATTCATTAATTACAATTAGCACGTGTCTCAACAGTACAAATTACCCTATCTGGACACAATTATTGTTGTTAAAAATGTTTTTTAAAATTAAAAAATATTTATATAATAAAATGTAATATACATGTAAATATGGCAATTATGGCATTTCCAGAGTTGATTTTTTTTTTTTAATTTATGTTTTAAGTATAAAACGTAATATATGTTTTAAATATATTTTATGCTTACAGTTGTTTATTTGTAATGTGTGATTAAAATATAAGTACCAGGTTTCCTTTGATCCGCCATTGGACTTCAACAGCAGGATTTCCTTTTTAGTCCAGCAAACAATGTCTAAGATCTCCTTTAGGGGGTCCGGCACCCCTATTGTGTCTGCGCGGTGAGGGAGCGTCCTTCAGCGTGACTCCAATGTCAGCTGTTTGTTTTAACCAAACTTGAGCATTTGGGTGAGGAGCTGAGGCCCGTTCGTCCACATACCAGAGTGGAGTTGGGGGAAATGGGGGGTCAGGTCTGAAATCCGGAGGTGAAGAGGGGGTGGATTCAGTCCTCTTTTAGCCATAAAAGGAAATGAGTGCGTCATGGCTACTCAATACTACTCATGAGCTCCAGATGTGTCAGCATAAGCCAAGCGGCAGGGATTCTGCATGCCGTGAAGAGCAGCTAATAGTGAATACTACTGATCAGCTGTTATTTACAGTTTCAGATCATCAATACGTCAGTTAGACTGAAGTGCTCACATTTGTATAACTTTTCTATTATTATTCATACATATTAGCTCATTAGCTGTCTCTTTAAAGACATTACAAATCAATTTTCTATGCAAGTAAGCTCATTTTTAGACTGAAATCTGTAAGATCTTAATCTGAAATCTGTTAACCTTATGGGCCAGAGAAAGAAGCTCGCATCCATGTTTAGAAGTTTTTTTTTTCAGTAGCTCTGTATATTTCTATGGCATCGCTGTCGAAGAGTATCTGGTGAAGTGGATTTGCTTATTGTAGAGTTAGTGAATGTTATCATGAGCATTGTAATGTTTAAAGCGGATATCATAACAGATGTCAGTCGACCGGGAAGATTTTAAAAACGAGAGGTTCATTTATAAATCTGTAAGATCTTACCTTTTGTGGAAATACAAACCGGAAGAGAGAACCGAACGAGCGCAGCGCTGAAAAGAGCCGGGGCTATATATATTTCGACCATTTATTTCGAATCAGCAATAAAATGACAACAGTGGTATTATATACTTTGCTTCTCACTCACAAAATAATTATTAAAGTAAAAATGTTTTCTTTAGTTAACATAAAGGATTGAATGCTATGATTTCTGCTCTTTATTTTCTTCATCTTAGACTCTCTTTGACGAGATTACACTTGCTTGTACTTTAACTTGTTGACTTGATCAAACAAACTATTTCTGCTGTCATGCTGATTGTCGGAAAAATAGAGTCTGTTTCATGAGCGAGTCAAATTGTGACGCAAGTCCTAAATGAGACTGAATACGGGAAAACGATTTAAAGAATTTAAATAGGTTTTGTGTGTGGGGGAGGGGGTTTGTACGATTTACAATAACAAATAACGGGGGTCTGGATGTTGTGCGGTGGACGTCCCACACATTCCTGAGAGACTCCTCACTGTTCCTCTGAGTCTGCACATTGGTTTTTTGTTTGTGCACCCCAGCACTCCATATGTTTCATTTTAGCCTTATTTGGAAATGGTTTGGAAAGCTCAGTGGACGGAGCTCCATATGTTTTATTTATTTAATGTTCCTCCATCGGTTGATGAGAATCAGTGATGGATAGATCATAAAATAGGATCTGCTTGAAATAATGTTCATAAGCAAACAGTAGGTGTATAATCCTCACAAATACAATATCAAACCTTACCAAAGTGAAATGACAAGTTCCTTCTGTAAATAATATAAAATAATAAATTTAGTAAATAATCAAGTAAATATTTAAATTGTCTATCTAATCCATCCGTCCATCCATCGGTCGGTCCATCCATCCATTCGTCCGTCGGTCCATCCATCCATCCATCCATCCATCCATCCATCCATCCGTCCATCCATCAGTCCATCCATCCATCGGTCCGTCCGTCCGTCCATCCATCGGTCCGTCCATCCATCCATCCATCCATCAGTCCGTCCATCCATCCATCCGTCCATCCATCCATTCTTCCGTCCATCCATCAGTCCATCCATCCATCGGTCCGTCCGTCCGTCCATCCATCGGTCCGTCCATCCATCCATCCATCCATCCATCCATCAGTCCGTCCATCCATCCATCCATCCGTCCGTCCGTCCATCGGTCCATCCATCCGTCCGTCCATCCATCGGTCCGTCCGTCCGTCCATCGGTCCATCCATCCGTCCGTCCATCCATCGGTCCGTCCATCCATCCATCAGTCCGTCCATCCATCCATCCATCCATCCATCCATCCATCCATCAGTCCGTCCATCCATCCATCCATCGGTCCATCCATCCGTCCGTCCATCCATCGGTCCGTCCATCCGTCCGTCCGTCCATCGGTCCATCCATCCGTCCGTCCATCCATCGGTCCGTCCATCCATCCATCAGTCCGTCCATCCATCCATCCATCCATCCATCCATCAGTCCGTCCATCCATCCATCCATCGGTCCATCCATCCGTCCGTCCATCCATCGGTCCGTCCATCCATCCATCAGTCCGTCCATCCATCCATCCATCCATCCATCAGTCCGTCCATCCATCCATCCATCGGTCCATCCGTCCGTCCATCCATCCATTCTTCCATCCATCCATCGGTCCATCCATCCGTCCGACCGTCCGTCCATCCATCAGTCCATCCATCTGTCCGTCCGTCCGTCCATCCATCTATCCGTCCATCCTTCTATCAGTCCATCCACCCATCATGTAAAATCATAAGACTCTGTTGACCTTTTTGTCTGTTACTGTTTAACAAAACTCAGATTGAACTTGTCTGTCATTTATAGACCTGACACCTTCAGTCTGGTCTATGCTGACTCATCAGAAGCCTGAGAAGAGAAGTAACAAAACCCAGTAACAGTTTAATTTCACCTGGAGCTGCTCTGCAATAAACCGGCCTCACCTGGATGACCTCATCAGTAGTTCGGCTTCCCTCGGGTGACCTCGCCTGTCTGTGCACCTGTGACACAAATATGACTCACAGTGATGTCATCACAGGAACAATGACTCCAGAAGTAAACACGCACAGATATTGATTGATCACATAAGATTTTCACTTTGATTGTATGACTCGCTGCTTGTACGAGTTAATGCCGTTTTTATGTGGTGAAGTTGAAAGGTTTGAACTAGTGGTTTTGGTTATGATTGATTAGACATTTCAGGACTCAAAAATAATGTTTATTTTTATTTTTTATGCTGGCCCAAGCTTATGTAATTTGTTAAGATTTTTTTTAATTTTATTTAAATTTTATATTATCCACACACATATATAACCACACATATATATATAATTTAATTTACATTACTGCAATTAAGTATATTTTATAAAAAAAAAAATATATATCTTGAGCTTTGGAAATGTAAATAAATATATAAATATATGTATTATGTAATTATAAAAAAGTAATATCTAAAAAGATTGGTATTCTTTTTTATTTATTTATTTAATATACGTTTATCCATTTTTTAGTACTAAAATGTTTAATATATTTAAAGACCTGTAGACACTGCAGAGTCAGATTACACAAAATATTTTACACCAGTTGTGCTGATATTGAGAAAAATAGAGTTAGATATTTTGCATTTTTGCTTTACTAATTCCATCATACTGTAGTATGAGAATAACAATACGTAGCACACACAAATATTGTCTAAATGTTTTTAGATTTTACTATTGATGCAGCTATTTCTATGTTTGTTTAGATTTATTTTTATTGGAGTCAACAGTGATGTTTAGCTTAAGTGTTTCAGTTCATGATTGGTAGTGCCAAGTGTTTCTTTTGGGAAAATGCGGAAGAGGCTAAAAAGAGAGGGCCTCATATCCAGCTTTCACTCTTAGGCTTTCTTCTCCTTATTCCATAAAGAGATTTGAGAAAAACAAGCTGTTTTCTTACGCACATTCAGTGCCCAACAGCCCAAAGCCTGAGTTTTCTGACGTTTGATTTATGTCGTGTTGAAGTTTCACAAAATGGCCATTTAAATTTGCACCACTCTGATGACAGACTCAAATAGCACTCTGACGGTTTGGCCTTTTCCCATAGCAAACACTCACCAATCTCTGTACACAATCCAGCAGCCCTTCAGAGCTGAAGTCAGCGTCTCTCTGTTGGGTGAGAGTGATCTCATCCCCCGAGGTGAATTCACAGGTGTGTGTGAAATGTAAACACGGGCCGAGACCGATCGCCCACCTGGTGGTCCGTCCGTGCCCATCCCCATCGCTCATCTGTCTCCAGGTGCTGGATGGGAAATGGAGTGTTTTAGACTGTTTGCAAACTGGCAGTAAACTGAATCCGAGCACCAGTGGACCTTGAAGCAGACAGAAATGAGTTGAAGGGGAAGAACTGAAGCGTCCCTCACCTCTGATGTTCTCACTTCGGTCGTTGTCCTCGGTTCCTGCGTCGTATCAGATTCGGCTCTGAGCAGACGGAGGCTGGATTTTTCCAGTGTTAATGTGTCTGAGCAGTCGGTGTAAGATGATTTCTCCAGACCCCATGGCTCGTCTCCACCGAAGTCTAACCGCCTTCCTGTGCCGCTCGCTGTCTCCAGTTTTGAACCAGAAAGCTCATATTTCTCTAGCTCAGAGGACTGAAGTATAGAAGTATACTTTGTGCAGGCGTCTTTCTGTTTTTGTGTCCTAAGTCAAATCAGTTTCTTTTTAATTATACACTGTAAAAATAATGTTTTCAACATTTGTTATCACAACATTTTTCTTTTGTCAAATCAACTTAAATGATTTATTTAGTTCAGATAACTTATTATTTTGAGTTTCTGATGATTAAGTCTATCTCCATTGTTTTAACTCACTTTTTCCATTTCAATGAACTCAAAATTTTAAGGCAACCAGGTTACTTACTTTTTTAAGTTAAACCAACACTTTTTTTACAGTGTACTGCTTTCCAAAATCCAAAAGCAGCTTCACAGAAACTTGTATATTCCCAAATGAATGGTGTTTCTCAAAGTGTGTGTCAACAAGGTTACCTGAAATGTGAAGACAAATGTATAATAAAAATACCATTATTTTCCATTTATAGGGATTATATAGCATACGGTATAGAAAAGCAACACTTCCAATTGCAGCAAAACAACAGTAAAATAAAAAGAAAACAACTGTGACAACCCATTTCTGTTCAAAATAATAAAGAGTTAAAGTTGAGATGTTAACTATTACATGTATTTATTTATTTAAAATGTATTAAAATATTTTATCTTTAAAATCTCATTGAAATTTTTTCATTTTAAAATCTTAATTTTATGGATTTTTAAATAATTCAAGTTTATATTGTTATATTAATTATACGTTTATATTATTGGGGCTCAAGAAACACTATGCCTTTCAATAATTATCTTTCTTATCACTATTAATGTTGAAAACACTTTCTGAAAACTGCTTAATATTTTTATTTCGTAATTCTTTGATGAATAGACATTTATTTAAAATAATTTTTTCGTAACAACGTAAATGTCTTTACCGTCACCTTTTATTAATTTATAGCATTCTTGCTAAATATAAAAGTATTCATTTATTTCAAATATACATTTAAGGAATGATTTATTAACTTGATTTATTAACAATTAACTTGATTGAATTAATATGTGACATTATTAATTTTCATTGTGTAACATTTAATAAATAAAATGATGAACTTATAATGAACAATATTATTTACAGCATTTAATTAGTTTGGTTGTTTAATTTTAAATCATATGAATTAATACTGACTATTGCATTATGAACAAACATGAATTAACAGTTAGTGAGCAGTGAGTATATTTATAAATGAACATAAACCTGGATTAAAAAATGCTGTAAACAATATTGTTCATTGTCAGTCATGATGCGTTGACTACTGGCAATTAATTAAATCTTTTTGTGTGTGTTTCAGGTGCTGTGTAACGGTCCTGGGACGTGTGTCCCACTGTGTGCCGCTGGGCTGCTCCTGGGCGTCCTGGGCCTGAAAAGAGTCCTGATCGTCTATGTGGAGAGCATCTGTCGCGTGGAGACACTCTCTCTATCTGGGAAGATCGTCTACTACCTTTCTGACTACTTCTTTGTACAGTGGGCACCACTGAAAGACAAATACCCGAAGTCCATCTACCTAGGGAGATTGGTGTGAGGAGAACATTTACAGAAAACCTCGTTTTCTTTTTGCAAGATATATCGGTTTTGAATTCATCTGAGAATCACATGCGTTTTGATACTGTTCGGTGAAGCTGATGCAAATCATTCCAATGCAGTTACTGATGTGCTGAACACACAACTACGACAACCGCATCAGTGTTTTCTGTTGTTTTTTAATGCCAAACAGTCACAATGGGCTGATGAAATATCCTACATCACACCTTTTCTACCTTTTACGCCCTTGAAAAGTCAACCAAACGAAACCTACATGTGCAGGTGCTTCTAATTCCATTCATAGTTTCAGCATTTTCCAACCCTGCACGAAAAAGATAATAATTGGCTTGGGTTTGAGCCTTTCAAAGGTTTGACTTGTTTAGGTTGTCATACCTCATGTGTATGTACTGTATATACATTTTTTTGTAATATTGTATTTGCGAAATATTGTCCAGCTCACTACTTTATTCAGCAGTACTTCATTGTTGATCTCTTCCTGTGCTGGCGTGTGGCTGGTTTTAGCGGAAATGGTGTGAGTTAAAGACTAAACATTTAGAAGAGATGGAAAAACTGATTTTATTTAATGCTCTGTAATTTCCTGTTACTCTTTGTGGCTCTCTTATACCTGTTGCAGGAGGTAGAACATACCCTGATGGTTTCTTTTGTTTGCCAGGACAAGTTCATGCAGGTAACTTAGTCATTTACTTCTCAGCATAGAGATCCTCGACTGTGACGATTCTGAACATCTGTGAATGGATGATCCAATCAGACATGTCTGTCGGGTATGTGATGTAATGTATAATTTGGTTATGAGCATGGATGGATGGGTGCAGAAATTAAAATTACATTTATTTTGTCCACAGAGAAATAGGTTAAGTACATTTTTGGAGAGGGGGTACAGACCAAATGCCAACAGTAAAAGTGATTTAGTTTAAAAGAAACATAAAAGACTATATTGTAAATTTAGAACTAATACAGATTGAGTTTGAAATCCTAATCTTTATTAAAAAAAAAATATATATATAATAAATTAAAAAAAAACATTTAACATGCTCATATGCATTCTGTGCATCTTATCGCCTGGATTTGCAGACAGTAATGTGCTGACTAACCTAGTCATATATTACAGACTCTTATCAAGAAAGACCTGATAGGAACTGTTTTATTTCTCATTGACTGACTGGTTAGTATACATAATAAAGCTGCTCTTATCAATATCTTTCCCAGTTGACCATGCAGAATGTCCCCTCAGTTTCGCTCTTTATTCTATGTTGGAATTGATTTCAATTGGCAACAGGCCTTCAATGTCTGATAAAATGCATCAAATTGTCAGGGACAACACCTCCAAACAGGCAGCTATTCTGCTTAATCTTAAATATGTAAGTGATTAGAAATATTCACAAATAGAAAGCAACCTTAGAAAAAAATGTTGTCATGTTTTCTTTATTCAGCACAGGTTACGTGACAGCAAAAGATACTGATCTCCTTTGAAAAACCACCTCCATGATATTGTTTTTTCCCCATGTTTTCACTTCAACCTTTCAGACAAAAACAAACCCTGACATTAGAGCTCCGCTCACATCATGCTCAAAGCGTCAACTGGTTATTTAAAGCTACTAGATGACACGGAAAATGATAATGCAGAAATTGGATCCATATAGAGCCTGTATGTGTCTGTTGTGTGTTTGATTCCTGGTTATGAATTGTTGTTACTGCCTTTTTTTAATATCAAAACTGGTTTATTCCCTTCAGGAAATAATAATGATAACAATGCTTTACACAAACCACAACCATTTTTTAGTGTCAAAACTGTGTACCATAGTTACAGGGCAAGACTGGTGTCTTAATTTTTTTTTTTTTTTTTTTTTAATTTTTCATTGTTATCTAGAAAGCACTTGATCAGCTTCTGTTGTTGTTAATAAATTTGCCCTATGTTGTAATACAATATTAAATTATGTAATGTTTAATTAATGATCAATAAGCAGATCAGTGTACAGTCAAATAGTTAGAAATATCTTATAAAATGATGTATATATATATATATATATATATATATATATATTAAAACAAATTATTGGTTTTAACTATTTTTAATTGATATGTATTATTGATAAATAATTTTGAACTCATCATTTATAAATTGTATTAATATAGTTTCCGTTTAGTTTAATATAGTCATATCTGAATTCACCTCACATGAATTTACCTCACAAATTAACTTTAGTTTAAAAAGTTACAGTAAAATGCTTAAAGTGTTATTGTAGTTAGTTATCAAACTAGCACAAAAAAACGTCGAAAAAGATAAAGAAAGGATTATTACACCATACAGTTGTAGAGATAAGCGACCGTTTTCCAGCAAACAGAAACTCGGTCAATGGTTTTGCCAAGTGATCTATAACTTTGGCCACCAAGAGCCAGGGAAACAATAGACGAGCCTAGGCTTCTGATTGGCTGTAGAGGCGCGTCAGTCACTTCGCTCCACCCCCAAATCTGCGATAGTAGCTGGAAGTTTTTGCGCGAGCGAGAGAGTGCCTGTTGTGTGTGTAAAGTAACTGTGCGCGCGGATTATTCATTCACACGGAGCACCGAATCATCTCTACTGTGAATTTAACTTCAGCTTTAGGACTTTACTTCTCTCATTCTCTGTTGGCCAGTTCATTGACTTCAGGAGAAAACTCAAAAAGTGAATCATGACCCAGTTTAACAAGGGACCAGCCTACGGGCTATCTGCGGAGGTTAAAAACAAGGTAAACTGAACTTTTATTCTTTGTTTTGAATGTTCATTTAGCCTAGGCCCTATGTATGTATACGTTTTTGTTATGTGTGGTTCAGGTTATACGATGTGGTATCACAAGATGGGAAAACTACTGTTGGATATCTTTAAAAGTATTTTATTGTTTGTATTTAGTTTGCTAAACTATCTTTTTGTTTGCCCAATGTGTTATTATGTAAGACTTAAGCATGGCCATGAACGTTACGTGGAGTTTGAATCCTAGTGAATTTGAATAATGGCACATTTAATAATACGTAATAATAATATTTCATTTAAATGTTTAATATTATCTATTGTGTTTTGAGTTAAGAATAGAATGGAAAATGTGCTAATAGGCATCCTCCAATAAAAAAAATTCTGATTAAAAAAATGATTACATGCAACATCAGAAAGGAGACATTTTCTCCTCAAGTTGATTTTAGATTGCCCATTTCAGAGATGAGCTGGTCAGAGGTCATCTCCATGTTTTAGATTTGTAATATGACTGTCATATAACAAGTTGTTGGAGTGAAAACATCCCGATCAAAAGTAACAGGAGGGTAAATTGGGGAAAACATAATGGAGAATGTTTAAAATCTTGTTTCTAGTGATTTATTCATGATATTATCCCTCATATTAATCAGACAGGAAGGATTATGTGTAAAGATAGTAAAGCCAGTGAATCAGGGTCAAGAAGGACACCGCCATGCAAATTTCTCAGGCATGACATCATCATTGCTAAAGAGCTACTTTAGATAAAGTAATCTTAGCTTTCAGCTCAAGGGTTCAATTAAAGTAAACATCTTTTTTTTTGGTAGACAATTTAATATTTCACCTCTGAAGTGAGCAATCCTGGTTGGTATCTGTCCTTCTTTCATCCAACCCCTTCGGAAGTAAGCATTTCATCTTGGAATTTTAAGCATTCCTAAAATGTGACGACGTTGCCGGAACAGCTGTGATGTGTATAATCCTGTATTCAGTTTATTGCTATGAACTGTCAAAGTGTGCATTGTGATAATGACCTCTTTAGCTCAAAGAAACAATGTTGCTTTTTCAGCCAGATGCTTTACAAGAAATATTTCACCCAGAAATTTTGTAATTTCATGTTTCAAACCCTTATGACCTTTCATCAACTTTCCGGTCTTTTGAAACTATATCTTTGTGTGACAAACACACAAATATTTAAAGGAGTAGTTCACTTTTAAAAAAAAAACTTTTGCTGATAATTTACTCACCCCCATGTCATCCAAGATGTCCATGTCTTTCTTTCTTCAGTCGAAAAGAAATTAAGGTTTTTGATGAAAACATTCCAGCATTTTCTCCATATAATGCACTCTATTGGTAACCAAACGGTTCAAGGTCCAAAAGACAGTTTCAGTGCAAACTGTTCAAAGGGCTTTAAACGACACCAGACGGCGAATAAGGATCAAAATTGTTTTGTAAAACTTCAAATAATTCACAAATTGCTACTTTTTATTAATAAACTTTTATGAAGGCGTCAATCATTTCTTCAGAAGACAGAACACGCATGATACTTTCATGTTGCTTTCTTGCCATTTTAGAACTCTAATTTCAATTATTATTGTAAAGAGGAGCCAGGATGTTGCTCAAAAATTCATTTTTTGTGCCGCAGCTGAAGTCATACAGGTTTGGAAAGACGTATGAAAGTAATGAGTAAGTGATGACAGCATTCAAATTTTTGGGTCCTTTATGTGTAAAATGAAAAGCATGTGGCTAAAATTGCAACTGATTTTCTAGTGGAAAGTAGTTCCATTACACAATTTCCCCTCTTAATCCATGACTTATTTTCCATTTTACTTGTCTGGACAATGAAAGGCTACAGGAAAAGTGTCCCTTGCATCCTTACAGGTCCTTTTTTAAAGAGCTGTTGATCTTGGTGTGTACTAGTAGAATTTGTTGACTCTTTGTTGATTTAAAGCATATTCAGCGTGTAAAATCCTTCTATTTCAAAAGCATGTTATTCATTTCACTTTTTTTCAGCACATAAAGTTTTAGGTTAATCCTTTTTTTTTTTTTTTTAAAAAAAGAAGCCTCTTATGCTCATCTGGGCTGCATTTATTTGATCAAAATACAGAAAAACAGTAATATTGTGAAATTAATACAGTTTTCAATTTAAATGCTGTGATGCAAAGCTGAATTTTCAGCATCATTACTTCAGTGTCACATTTTATTGTAACATGATGTGTATATCTTTACTGTCACTTTAATGCATCCTAGTGGCTCATTATACCTGATTGGCATGCACATTTTAATAAACAATACACTTTTTATAAGCAAACAGTGTTATGCTCTTCATGTAATAAATACCTACCTTTCAAGCACTATTAACCTGGAACTACGAGAACGTTCTTAACCATGTTTGTTTCAAACCTTTTATAGGTCATGTGATTTCCAAAGACTTGTTTGTCCCGTTTCTTGAGTTTCATCAGCACTCTTGCTCTGCTGAAAACCGAGAGCTGTTTTCTGCCTTTGTTTTCCTGCAAGCTGAACTTTGGAAAAGTCAAAGCTCGCAGTGAGATTTAAAAATGTTAGACTCCCAGTACATCAGCCTGTAAATGTCAATGAATCACGCCACCTTGTCAAATAGAATTATTCCTTAAAATACCAACAAATCAGATAATAGGATAGGATGTTTTATGGGATGTTACCTATCAAATTAATGACCCTCTCTGGTTATGTAACAGCAGACACAAGGGGTCGTTCATTACAGGGTTGTTGCCAAAGCATCATCCTCTGTTTAAAATCTGCACAATGAAGATATTGTTCAGGCTGGTTTATTTTTACACATGGAAAAGATGTCACTTAACAACCTATTTTTATTTTGACCATTCGTGTTACATTATATTAATCATATCAGTTGTTTTCCCCCAGGTAGTGGATAGCAGAACGGCCTTTCCTCAATGTGAGCTTTTGGAAGCCTTAGGCAATGTTCTATAGAAATGTTTTTGATTTTAGTAGTTTGTTTAATATGCTCTAAAAACTGCTGGGTTGTTTTAACCCAACTTTGGGTCAAATATGGACAAACCCAGCCATTGGGTTAAATTTTTTAATTACATTTTTAACCCAACATTTGGGTTTCTCCATATTTGACCCAAAGTTGGATTAAAACAACCCAGCATTTTTAGAGTGTACATTGTCTTGTATGTTGCTTCCAAGACTTTTATTTTGTCAGAGCATTAAATATGCAGGAATTCCCCTTGAAATGTTTGGATGTGGTTCAACAGACCTTGATACAACTTTTTCAGAGTTTAATACACTCAAAAAAAAAAAATGCTGGGTCAATTTTGGGTCAAATATGGACAAACTCAAACATTTGGTTAAATGTAATTTAAAAATGTAACCCAATGGCTGGGTTTGTTCCGTATTTGACCCAAAATTGGGTTAAAACAACCCAGCATTTTTTAGAGTGTACATTTTAATTATTCTTGGCTCTCATCTCATTCTGTATCTTTCTTAGGGTCCATGTACGTCTTGCAGTTTTGAATTACGCTACTGTTCCCAATCCCATAGCTCAAGCACCGGTGTCCTGGTAGAGGCCGTGGGTCAGAATGGGGAGGTCACGGTGGTTCTTGGGTAAACCCAGACTAGGTTAACCTGACGGCTTTGATCCGTCGCTCTCTAATGCCACATTCCATCTTGATCCTCGGTGTAAAAACACTTTTACTGCCATACTGTGACTGCTGATGGGCAGCCGGCCCAGTGAGGGGCCATTACATTCCCCGCGATGTGCTGATCAGCAATATTTTCTAGGATTGGACGAGGCTCTGCAAAGTGTGGCCACAGTGATTTAACCCTGTGTTGCCATTTTAGGAAGAACAGGAAAGTGTGTTTTCCTGAGGCTATTGTTTGGCATCTGTTGTACAGCAGGATCTTATAACAGTGCAAACATTGAAAAGAAAAATCTTTAAAAAGCCTTTATCAACATTTATACAAGGTCTGAAAGTCTTTTAGAGTGCACAAAGAAGGTTCACAGACAACAACTTTTAGCTGAACCTTTTTTTTGCACTTTGAGCTTGAGCTTTGTGGTTTTTGTGTTATTCTGTGTTTCCATCCACTCATTTTTATGCACATTTTGGGATATCACATGCTGGATGGAAACACCAACATGCACAAATGTGCATAAAAAACGTATGCGTTTGTTTCAGTCGGAGGCAATTGATCTGATAAGAAAGCA